ATGATAATCAAAACAACATAATACTGGCACAAAAACAGATAGGTAGACCAATGGAACAGAACAGAGAACCTAGAAATAAACCATGAAACATACATTCAACTGATTTGGGGGGAAAAAAAGGCACAAGGCAATCTAGTAGGAAAAAGAACATTTTTTTCAGCAAATGGTGTTGAAAAAACTGGATGTCCGCCTGCAGAGAACATGAAACAGGACCCATATCTCTCACCATTAACAAAAAAATCAACTCAAAATAGATCAAAGATCTAAACATAAAACCTCAAACTATAAAACTGCTGGTGGGAAACACAAGGGAAACTCTTGGAGATATTGGTGTAGGCAAAGAATTCTTAAAAAAAAGATCTACAAAGCACAGGCAATCATCCTGAAAATAGAGAAATGGGTTTACATAAAGTTAAAAAGTTTTTGCACAGCAAAAGAAACAATAATTAGAGTGAAGTGGGACGATCTAATTGCAAACTCTACCTCACATAAGGTACTGATAACCAAAATATAGAGAGAACTCAAGCAGCTTACCCACAAGAAGATAATCAGTCCAATTAGAAGATGGGCAAATGAGCTGAACAGATAACTCTCAAAAGAAGATATATGGGGAACCAGCAGTTAGAGTAATGGCTATGTCGCTGGACTCCCACATAGTCGACTGCGGTTCATGTCCTGGACCCGGTGGCTTCACGCCCACGCCGAGTGCATGTGCGTGCGTGCCCAAGATCCTGAGAGGAGAATGGAGGAGAAGGGATTGCAGCGTGGCCATCCCCTCTGGGGGCTGATTTCTTGCTTTCTGTCTCTCTGTCTTTCTCTGCCTGTCTGGCGAGCACACGCGCCCTATAGTGAAAAACCTCTCCAAAAAAAAAAAAAAAAAAAGAAGATATATGAATGACCAAAAGGCTTATGAAAAATATTCAACATCCCTTTTCATATGGGAGATGCAAATCAAAACCACAAGGAGACATCATCTAAACCTAGTTAGAATGGCTGAGATTAAAAAATAAAGAATGGTAAGTGTGGTAAAGCTGTGGTGAAAAGGGAACTCTCCTGCACTGTTGGAAATGTAAATTAGAACAGCTCCTGTGGAGAACAATAAGGAAGTCACTCAAAAACCTACAAATAGAGCTACCATGTGACCCACCAATTCCACTCCTGGGTATCTACCCAAAGGGAAGATATACACTCAGTTGGAAGAGTGCTTGCACATCCATGTTTACTACAGCATTATTTACAAATCCCCAAGAACAGATGAACGGAATGGAAAAGTGTGGCAAATATACACTATGGAATACCAATCAGTCATAAAAAAAAAAAAACAAGACCCTTGGGACCAGCAGGTGGCATGGTGGTTAAGGTGCCGGACACTCCCACATGGCTGACCACGGTTCAAGTCCTGCACCTGGTGGCTTGCTTTCTCACTTCCCCTCTTTCTCTCTCTCTCTATGTGTATTTCTCTCTGTCAAGTCAAAAATAAATGAATGAATAAATAAAATAAAATAAAATAAAAAACTTGACTTTTGATAGAAAATAAACAGATATGTAGGACTGAATGCTAAGTGAAGTATGCTGGACTATGAAAAGGAGGCATTGTATGTCCCCACTTAAGTTATACTGAATATCTGAACTCTATGGCAGAAACAGAAAGATTGGAAGCTATGAAAGCATGGAGAGCAATTGTGGATACTAGAGATAGTGTGGGAGGGCCATGGGCAGTGGGGTGTGTGTGAGAGGGAAGGAATCAAGGAAAAAGAAAAATACTTAACAGACACAAAAGTGAGTAGTTGTCTGTTGATGATGATGTGTATGGGAATATCTTTAACTGGACTAGTATGCAGTGTATTCATGCTGGGAAAGTTCATTTTCTATGTTGTAACGATGTACAGTGATTAAATGTAATAAAAAATTGAAATGACAAAAAGTCACAGAAAAAATTCTATTTACACTTGTAAAAACTAGATACTCAGACATATCTATTCAAAATTTGTGCGTGTGCCTTAGCTGAATATATCCTAAATTTTACTCGGTTTTGCACCAATTTCATATACAAGAATGTCTTCAAATAGTTCATGGGAAATGTGTAGTTTGTGTGTGTATATATATATACACACACACACACACACATACACGCACACACACAAAAGGAAAGAAATACACTCCATTGGAAGAGCACTTGCACATCCATGTTTATATATATATAGCTTTCAAAATATTCTTGCACTAAAATAAATTCATATTTAATTTCATTTTCCACTAACTTTTTAAAGTACTCTCATATATTAGATTATCAGGAAAGTCATGACTTAGTTTTGCTTATAAAAATAGTAACTACATCATGACTTTTCCAACAACCTAATGGCAGAAAAGATGGCTTTTCAAAATATGTTCAGATAAGCCAGTAGGTGGTATGGTGGTTAAGGCACTATACTCCCACATGACCCATAACAGTTTGAGTCCAGGACCCAGTGGCCTGAAAATCATGCCAGACATGTGTACATGAAAGACCGCAATTCTGAGAGAAGAGAGTCAAAAAGGGCTTGCTATCCTACCTGGGGGGTTGATTTCTTACTTTCCTTCTCTCTGTATTTCTTTGTCTCTCTTCTGTCCAAAAAGCACATGTGCCCTATGGCAAAAACCTAAAAAAAAATTAAAAAATTAAAAGTAAAAATTCAGATACAATACTGTATATCAGTAAAATCACTGTGATGCATAAAATAAACTTCAGTTTAATAGGAATTTATTTAGTCTTGATTATGGACCCAGATCTGAGGACAAAGAATATGTAAATAATAGGGAAGCAAGTATAAAGAAATTATAATGGGGGCCAGCAGGTGGCATGGTGGTTAAGGCACTGGCCTCTCACATGGCCAACTGTGGTTTGAATCCCAGACACAGACCTGGCCATTTGAAACTCACACCAGGTGCATGTGCATACGTGTGCTCCCCAAGTACTGAAAGGAGAATGAAGGAGAACTAATTGTGGTATAACCATCTCTCTTGAGGGTGATTTCTTATTTTCTGTCTCTCTGGCGAGTGCATGCATCCTAAAGCAAAAATCTCTAAAAAAAAAAAAGTTATAATGACTTGTATATTTAAGAGGTAAAAACACATGAAATAAAGAACAACATGGGGGAACCAGCAGTTAGCGTAATGGCTATGTCGCTAGACTCCCACGTAGTCGACTGCGGTTTGCGTCCCGGACCAGGTGGCTTAAAACTCACACCGAGCGCGTGTGCGTGCGTGCCCAAGATCCCAAGAGGAGAATGAAGGAGAAGGGATTGCGGCGTAACCTTCCTCCCTGGGGGCTGATTTCTT